ATTGTCGCAGTTTCAGCTCCTGCTGAGCTGTACAGTCTGCACTCTGTGCCCAGGCAAACTTCACTTCTTCTCCCCCTTCTTCTTGTTGTTCTTCTGCCCTTTGTTCTTCTTCCCCCTGCCCCAGTCGTGGGCCTTGCGCTTCTTTCTCTTCTGGTTGCGCGTGCGTTGCGCACCCCAGGTCAGCTCCTGCAGTGTGCATGCGCTGCAGCCATCCGGGCAGCACGCCCCAGCGGCCACAGCCGGGCGCACGTGCTCCTCCCCGCCGTCGCTATCGCTGCCTTCCTCGCCGTCGCTGCTGCTGCCCTCGTTGTTGCCCCCAGCAGAGCCCCACAGGCCGCCCCGCCTACGCGCCTGGTCGCAAGCAGCGCACCAGCGCTGCAGCGGCGCCTCGCCGTCGCTGGCCTCCACCTGCAGCCAGCCTGAGGCTGGGCCGGGCGAGAGGGCGGCGCAGTGGAAGCAGTGCAGGGGGATATTGGGCCCCTCCTCAGCCCCCTCGCCATCCGCCCCCTTGCCATCCGCCTCTGCCACGGCTGCGGCCGCCGCCGCACGCAGCACTGGCGCGGACGCCTTGGCCCGCGCCAGCGCAGCTGCGGGGAAGCGGTCGGTCTTCCAGCCACCCGGGCGCTGGAAGGCCGGCTCCAGCGGCTGGTTGAAGAACCTGGCCACAGGAGTCTTGGCCAGGTTGCCAGAGCCGTACTGCTGGCCCGGCTGCGACTGTGCCAGGTCCAGCACCAGCGAGATGCCGTCCTCAGAGCGCTCGTGCTCCGCGTTGCTCTGGCGCTGCCAGCCTGCAGCGAGGCTGTCCATGCCCACCAGGCGGGCGCGCGTGTCCAGCAGCAGCTCCTTGCCGCGCCAGATGCGGAAGCGGCGGCCGCCTGACACGTCAAACACAAAGCGCCAGCCGTTCTGCAAAGGGAGGGAGGGCAGGCACGCTCGGTTCAGCAGGGCATCGCGTGCTGTGGTGGAACAGCGGGTGCGGCCCTGTGAACGGGGCAAGGCAGATCCATGCGGGCAACAGGGCAGGCTTGGCTGCCAACCTGCTAGCTTTGGCAAACACGAAGCCAAGCAAATGATCCTGCCGACACGTTCTGGGATCCTTAACTTCCCTTCCCTCCCTTCCCCTGCAACTACCTGCCTCCCCAGCCTGCCATGGCACCCACCCACCCTGATGTGCACAATGGCTCCCTCCATCACGTCCTGGTGCCTGCCTTCCTCCTCGCCCTTGCGCTTGACAGCAATGGCAGCAGCTGCCAGGAACTTGGCCTCTTGCCAGCCCTGGCGCTTGCCGGAGGAGTGAGGGCAAAACTGGGGCGAGCTTGGTTAGAGCGCAGCACTGAGCCATGAGATGCGCTCTTAGGGCACCGCGAGGATGCACACAGACTGACTCCCGCGGCGGTCACCCAATTGCCCAGCGCCCGACCTTGGCTCGGAACCACTTGCGCAGCAGGAGCAGGGCTTGGAACCCATCAGGGTGGTTCCTCAGCTCGGCAAACTTGATGCGCACGTAGGCCTTGCTCTGCGGGGCAAAGAGCAGGGAATCGTCTTAGCATGCTGCAACAGCAGGATGCGGTTCTTGGGCTGCTTCCTGCTTGGGCATGGGCTTGAGCGCACCTGCCAGCAGGGGTCGGTGTCTGGCGGGAAGCACTTGGTGAGCTTGTCCAGCAAGCTCTCGTACTCCTCCTCGGTGAAGTCCTCCGTGTCTGTGGTGACCGCGTGGCCGGTCTGGTTCCGGCCCACCTGTTGGGGGGAGAAGCGAGGCTGGGCTGGCGTGGAGAGATGCACACGCAGTCCATCATCCCCTGTGCGTGGCAGTAGTGCATGGTGTCCAAAGCAGCAATGCCAAAACACTAGTGGCCCAGCCGTACACGCACATCGAGGTCAAACTTGTCAAAGCCAGTCAGCTGGCGCTCCGCCAGCTGGTCGCGCTGCTCGCGCTCTGCGGCGGCTGCCGCCGCTTTGGCGTCGGCAGGCGCAGTGCGGCTGGGCGGCTGCTGCTCTTGCACATCTGAGCGCTGCTTGGGCTGCCGGCGGGCGCGAGGGCCCTCCACAATCAGGCCTTGGGCGTCGGCTGCCAGGAGCCGGTCGCC